TAGGAAATTGATATCAGAATATCATTGCTGAACTCAGGGCCACAGCTTTAGGAAACATTTCCAGTTTACTTTTTATAACTTAAAATTAAGAGTTTGCTCTGTCTGGGGTCCAGGGATCCTGGTAAGCTTCCTCTGGGAACCCCCTCTAAAGTCCTTGATGAACTGACCACCCCCTTGTAGTCCTGCATGGAACACTTGCCCACCCCAAGCTGTGTCAGTTACCTCAAAAACCATGGTCAGTACACGTGGGACCACTGCCCTACTTATAACCATGCTTGCAGCCAGCCTTTAAATACAGCCTGCTTCTCCAGGCTCCCCAGGGGTCAGGCTGAGGGCCTCAGTGGCATTAAGACTCCTGCAGTTCTGATATAGACTAGACACTTGGTCTTGCTCCACAGATGCAGAGAAGGGAGGCAGCCTAGTCGTCGGAGACTTTGAGATTGCAGCCAAGTATGGTAAGTGGCAACTGTGCTTACCCAGGTGAGAAGGACCAGGGCATGGGGGCAGGAACACTGTCCCAGCCATAATAGACTGCCGTGGTACTTGTGACTCAGGCAGGCACTGGCACCAGAATTCCTGGGTTTAGTTCCTAATTCTGTCAATCAGATGAGCATTCAGAGGTGTGAGTGTGGAGTTGAGAGTATGCTTGGGGTCACCAGGCTGGACCCAGATCACAGGTTCACCACATCATGTGGCCACAAGCAGTGCAGAGGTAACCTTTGGTGTCCCCAGCTGTAAAGGATCCTATTTTTAGTCCTTGGGTTATGAGGAATGGACTCCTTTGATTTCATTTTTCCGGATGCCTTTTCACTGTGACTCAGGGAACCCTACGAGTGATTTCCCTTGAAAATATCCCACTAAGTTCACAATTGTCACCCGATCTGAAGAAACCACGGACCCCTTCAAAGCAGAGCCTGGTATGTGAGGGTATATGACATTCCCTTAGGGTGTCAGAGGTGGTTGACCCAGCAGCCCTGGGCCATGCCGCCCTCCTCATCACCTCACACTCAACCCAACCAACCAGGATGTAAAGCGAAGCCTTGTGAATATTCTGTTCTTTGGTTGCTGTTCCCAACTTCAGGTCGAAAGAGTTAACCTTAGTGTGTTTCTCCATAGAATGTCTTTTCTATGGAGATCCCAAAAATGGCTTTGAGCTTCTCATGTCTGGGTTCTTCTCATGGGTGTTTATGACTCTTCAGTAGGAAAAAGTTCTTAGCAGAATTATGGGAAAGCTGTTGGCGGGTTTGGCCATCCCCCTTCAGAATAAGAGTGGATTGTTCTGGATCAGCTTTGTTGCTGTTTTCATTCCCGAGAAAGCCCACGTCCATGCCTGGGAAAGGTATCCAGGGTCATGGATGCAGACATATGGCCTTCTACTCATGACACTGAAATGGGAGGCCTGGCCTGGTGGAGACTGGGCTGGCCTTGAGGCCCTGCCTCTTAATGTGGTCTTGGCAGGTCGCTGTCCTGCTCTGAGCTTCAGGCTTGTTTAAATTAGCAGAGAAGACCTGGGGCCAGCATAGAGCCTGGCTCAGGGTTGCACCTGGAGTGGGTGGAGTTGGGTCTGCAGGCAACACACCACCAGGGAGTGAACCACCAGGAACCTGACTGGGAACCAGCTGTCTCACCCCCAGTATGCCGGACAGTGGAGAACCAACCACAGAGCAACCCCTTCATGTGCATGGATCTCACTTATATCAGCTTGCTGCTCCAAAATTTTGGCTTCCCAGAGAACAAAGTGCTGAAGGTAAGGACTCCCCTCTTCAGTGCTCCTGTGCCCTTCATGGCCTGAGGGGCTGGAATGCCACCTCCTGCCTCCCACGTGGTCTCTGGCCTTTCACCCATGTGCATGGTCCTCTCTGCTCCTTCTGTGTCTTTTCCAGCTGACTCGGAAAATCGACAGTGTTGAGACCAGCTGGGCTCTGGGAGCCATTTTTCATTATATCGACTCCCTGAATAGACAGAAGAGTTGGGCCACGTAGTGGCTGAGCTGCCTGCTGTCCTCAACAACAGTGGCTCTGTCTCTGCAAGAACAGACCCTTTGGGATCCTTTGATGTGTTGGGAGGAGGCCACAACTCGAGCTGAGACTACTCCGCTTCCTTGCAGCCTTGCAGACCTGCCCTTGGACGGGCAGAGGCCTGGAACTTGACTCAGGCCCAACACCTCATCGTACCTGCCTCAGCTCCAGGTGGAAAATTAACTAGACAGGGAGAGGACGCATGCCAAGGCCAGGATGATGCATTCCCATTGTTCCTATCTTTCCCATCTGCAGGGTTGGGCAGCTATGACATGCATCCCTGTGAATAGAGTCTTGTTTTGTGTCCCCACACCTGTCTACCCTCTACCTCCTCCCCCTAGGGCAGACCTTCACCTTCTTCCCAAGAGTCGGTGGGGAGGTTGTGCAGGCTGTCCTGGCTACCCTCAGGGTGAGCTGAGTGGGAATCATCATGCCCTCTGGAGTGGTGGGTCGGGCAGGATGCTGTAAACTCTGGACTTGAAGGTGTTCATTCCTCCTTGGGTGTGGACAGGTGAAGTCATCCAAAGGCCTGTTTCCTCAGTCCTTGGATGGCTCAGGGTTAACTGCCGGAATTGAAACTATGAATAGGAGGAAGGGCTGAGGGAAATACCTCTTTATGGCCCTCATGTGCCCCAGCTCTTCAAGAAAGCCTGAATGTGAGTGTGAACTGTAAAATATTTATGGCTGTGCTGCATGAGTGACGTCTGTCGTGCAGTGCTGAGTGCTTGTGTGGCCACTGTGTTCTGAGCCCCAGTGTATGTATTGCTGCTGTGAGCTGTGTACAGCCGAGCAATATAAGAGACACAACCCCCCTCAGGTCAGCTGGCACCGCAGTTCCCAGAACTGCCCTCTTGGAACTGCTTTCTCGTGGCTCTTCCCTCTTTAGCTCCACAGGACACTGACTTGGCCCTCCAGTGTCTATGTTGCAGGATCCGTCAAGGGGAGACGTGGGCTGAATGCTGTGCACAGTGTGGTCCCAGGTTCACAGTCATCTGTGGTGAATGTACCAATATGCAGGATAAGCCAACCTCATATGTTTCACTCAAAATAAAGGTTTACAAGGATTATTCCTCCTCCGTGATTCCTTTCAGTGAGCTTCAATGATGTTCGTCCACCCAGCACTGGTGGAAAAGCACCTGAGGTCCCTATTTACTAAAGTTTAAACAAAAAACTGCACAAACGGGGTGATAGGCGGTGGCACAATTAATTCCTGTCAGTATATCAAGACCACAAAACACATGGAGGTCCCCATCAGGCCTTCCTGGCATCCCCTGTCCGTGATTAGCCCTGTAGAAGTCCAGGCTGTTCTAGAGTCAGGGCAGAGCCCCTCCTTCCTGGGAGTCTGTTGAAGCAGAGCTTTCCCTCCTGTCAGATTATGACCACAGCACATGCCAGGTAAGTCTTCACACACATCACCAGTGGCATGGTGGTCTTGAGAGAGTGCCAAGCTCCAGGTTGCAGTGTGTTCAGTGAGGACCTGGCTTTAATATATGGGTCAGTCAGAAAGGGGTTTGCATGTCAGGCAAAGATTGGGCGGACTCCTCACCCCAAGTGCTAGGTGCTCACATGTCTCATGCCTCTCTAGGGACCTGATGGGAGGGAGCACAGCGAGGCTACAGCAGGATTAAAGCAGGTATAACTACTGAATAATTACATATGGTAGAGGCCTGTGGGGAGAGAAAAGGCTTCTGCAGAAAAAAAGGATAATCTTGCTCCTTACCTCACAGAGCCTTAAATTTCCAGCGGGCAGAGAAACAGGAGAGGGATCCAAATGAAAGCTTTTGATGTTTGAGAAGCTCTGTGCCTGCTAGACACTCAGATATGGAGGCTTCTACCCTTTTCTGAGTGTCATCTGGTCTGAGTTGAGTAATCATTACTACCCCAACTCCAGAAGGCTAGAGGGGGACCACCAGGACACAAACCACTAACACAATGAGCCAGCTCTCCTCTGCCCAGTGGTTTCCCCAGAATGTAGCCCCTAGAGCAAAGATCTAGAGCTCTGTGTATGACTCAAGTTGGGAAAGACAAAATAGGAGAGATGCTTCCCCCAACTGAAAAGCCACATTAGAACTAAAGCTTAGAGGCTTTCACTTGACAAGGGCACAAAAATTAACTTCTCCCCTGCACCTCACCATCCCTGCTTGAGGTCTCCCCAGCCCCTTCCACAATCTGAATTAACTCTGGAGTCAGGGAGTTAAAGATGTATGAAGATAAAAGTGAAAATCGACTTGGTCCATTTATAGATTAGTGATCTCACATCTGAAAAAGTGAACTACTGGAGCATTCCCAAAAGGTTGCCAAATAAGTCATGGAATATTTTTGAACCAGCAAAATATGCAAATCATGTCACTGAGTGCCTTTTCTGTTTATAAAGTATTTTTAAAAAGTAACTGCATATGTATATCTTAACATGTAAAAGATACAAACCAGGGATACAGTGAGAATTTTGTCCCCATGTGTCCCAGAGGACATGTGCGCCTGTGTGCTCTGATCTTTGCACACCCCACACACTATCTCCTGCCCATATGTCCCAAACCTTTCTGTTCCCACTTAGAGCGACCACCCCTGTTGGTGCACAATGAGCTGTCTCGGTCCTGCAGTGCATCCCCATGTCTGGATAACAAGACCTCACAGTGTCAAGTTGTTTCCAGTCCTACATTCACGTGCACAGAACATTTGTTTTGTCTTAGAAGCATATTTTAATAAGTAATTTAAAATCTATGTTAAACAGCTTAAATTGAATCATGAGATGAATCAATAAAAACTAGAAAATAATGGAATTAAACTGATTCTTACTCCCTCTCTGATATTCAGAATAATCCAACTTGCTTTCTCTTCCATCTTCATGGGGTTGTATCATTAAATAATGAGAAAATAGAAAAAGTGCCAATGACCTCTCCATCTTAGATGGAATCACTGAGGAGACCTTGTCTTGCTTGACTTCTAGGGTCAGATTCTGAGAAATTGTGTGGGGTTGGGGTCTACTTTTTCCTGCCTTAATGAAGAGCAGATGGGACTCTCAAGAATGAGATAAAGTGGTCAAAATGGCAGCCTTACCTATCCAAAGAACTACTACTGTTTTAGGCCAGTGGAGGTAATGAAAACCTTGTGAAGACAGGGGGTCCTTGTGGAAATACAGTCCTTTAAAAAGCTATACTTTTTACAGAAAACAAATTTGAGACTA